TGGGGGAGGGTTTCACTTCCAAGGACATGATATTCCAAAGAGTGGGAGACATGCCAGTTGCAATTCCTTGGCTGGAAATGGGATCTGGCGCATGTCCCTTCTGCCAGAATAAGAGGGGCGAACCAACCCCATTGGGGTGAGATGGTTCCTCAGGTAACATGAACGTATCACTGATGTTTGTTTTAAAAGGGCAAGGCCTCAGGATCATGGTTGCATTTACCAATATGACATTTTTTGATATTGCCCATCCATGGATGCCTCAAAAACTTGATACCCTTTCATTAACCCAGCTTGCATGAGATGCATTATAGGTAAAACTTTCTGTAACCCAGGTGCTATTAACAATTCTGCATCTTCCGCCATACAACACACTAGCAACATTTTTGCATAAAATAATATAGGGTTCTAATCAATATTGACACTTACTAGGTTTGTTCACTATAGGAGTGCAGAAAGTTAGCACCCACCCCTCTCCTAGAAGAATGAAATATTTTGGGATATATTAAAAAAAGGCAGAATATTGTATTTCCCTAAAAGAGAAACACGCTCTTGGAAAGCAGCCCCCACTTATCTTAATAGCCCTAGCAGGACTGGGCCAGCCTATCTATAAGACAATTAGAGCTTCAGCTCCAGGGTGATGGGATTGAGACATGACCCTACAGGACATAATAGGATTATCTATCAGCAGAGCTCACCACATGGCACAACCAAGACCCTTCATTGCATCACCCAGCAAGGTTCAAACAAGCTTATCTCAGACAACCTCAGCTATGAACCCTGCATGGCCCCATGGGAGTCTGACAACCGATCAGAATGCATTTCTTCCATAGGAACAGGAAGCAAGTTCAAAGCCCAAGAGAGTGTTTAAATACCTCTCTCTCCTCCCACTGCCCACAACCTAAACCCCATGAGGTCCTGTTCACCAATAAACCATCTTTCCAATCAGCCTCCATGTTTCCAGTGTCGTTCTCCCCACTGGGAACTGAACCAGATGGACATTTTTTTCCAAATGGAGAGTTGTCAAAGATGGATCAAATAGAGTGCTAGGTTAAAATCATTACTTGCATAGAAATGAATCTTAGAAAAAACTTTCCTTAAATTTTCAAATCTTCAGTGTTTCCTTGCTTTGATGCTCACTGCGTTATCTTTTTTTCTAAACACAAAGATTCAAGAATTGGATTGTCTAACTTTCCCATCTGGTTTTTCCCTTTGTTCTCATGCACAGTCTCATGTATATTTGCTTCTTAAGCCCAACTATTTATGCCAACACAACTGATCACCAAGAAGAGCCTAATGCAAATCTAAATGGTTTAAATAAGGCACAAATGGGAACACTGAATAGTTTTGCACATCTTAATTCCTAAAGAACACATATTTGAAATGCTCTCCTGATACTTCTGGGCTTTTAACTCAGAACTGAGTACTTTTGTTTCCCTCTGCAGTTGTACATCCCTTGTTATTTGGCAAACACCCACCCCTCACCCCAGAATTTGGTCTTGTCATTATACCACTGGAAGGAAATTAGCAAAGAGTGCTTTGTTGGCTAGGTAATAAAAGCTGGAATCAGTTTAATTGCTGTCTTCTCACTTTCTGAAAGCCCCAAGAGAAACCAAGGGAAAAAAATGTCTTAACTCCTTCAAGTTTGTAAGAACTACAGTTGGATAATTTTCTCCTTTGTTTCTAAAACATCCTAAAAGATAATCTCATTTCATTCTAAAATGTAGAAGAGCTTCTTATTTGGTAGCAGAAAGCAGATACCTTGCAACAAATGAACGACTATAACTTTTTAAAGAAAGCATGCTCAAGAATGGTGCTTCCATAAAAGAATATACAGATAAGATTTATTTGGGAAATAACAAGTTGATGGGAAGGTTACTTAAGTGTTTCTGTAGCTAAAAGCTTCTGCTGTGCTCTCTGACTTTATGGAGAGAGAGCAAGTATGGTTAAGTACTTGAACTACACAGGCGAGAAACACAACTGAATTGAGAACTGGAAGGAAGTGATGAAGGCCCCAAGAGAATCAGACCAATCAATAAGAAATATATTATATAGAGACATGCAAAGTTATTTCAGACAGAAGAGATAAAAGTGCTGAATCCCATTGCAAACAATCTCAACATTTATTGTTCCTGATGATCAAAATGTTTATAGGTGCAGAAAACCAGTGCATATGCCAAATTTTGACATATGGATTTGATGATTTTTAAAATTTTAAAAGCGGAAATATGTTTTAAACCCCCCACCCTTTTTGGGGAGGCAAAATGGACACTTTATTATAGTTTTAAACTAAGAGTTGAAAATGTTTTCTATACCCTTAGGAGAAGAAATCAGAAGTTATTCTTTGTATATATTTGTGTTTTTTAGATCAAAGCCGTCTATGGATTGTGCATTAAATGCACCAATGTTATGACAGTGTGGTCAGCTATTGTTTGCTTTGTTGAACATATCACAAAGGATAAAGGAAATCAATTCATAGTAGGAACAGACTTCCAATCATGCATATATAGGGGAAATCCCAGTCAACCAGGAACCATAAATAAACAAGCTCATTTATTTCTTATTTATATTTCACATTTCTGAACTGTCCATCAAAAAGTTGTCTTTTTGTTGTTCTCGGTAAGTGGGAAAATACTGAAAAAAGGGGCTTATTCTAATAAGGAAGTTTTTTGTTTTATTTTGTTTTCAGTATAACAGTCCACCATCAGTTCTGTTTTAATTTAGTCCAGGCTAGATTAGGATTTGGGCTCAAATTGCTACTCAACAATGAAGCTGATTTAGCTATTTCTCAGCCCAAGTTATCCCCTAAGGCTGCTGCTATGAGAATAATGAGACTTCTCAGAATGCCATCTTGAGTAGAGAGTAGAGTAGAGCAGAGCAGAGCAGGAGTAGAGTAAAGTAGAGCAGAGCAGAGCAGAGTGATTCATTCACCTGTTTGTCTATCTTAGAGTAAAGGTGGGCAAGCAGATGAATGAATGAATTGGTTGATTGAATGAATGAAAATATGACATGTTAGATTGCAGATTCCATCTAAATTTGGATCTGAAATACCTGTTCAGTTGTTTTTCATTGCTAGATTAAATACTTTAGCAAAATTTTGAGCTCCTATGTTACTCTTACTATGTTACTCTTTTTCCTTCTTTTCAGGCACCTTGATTTTTTTTTTAAGAAAAAGAGGTCAACTTTCTATTTTTAAAATATTCCCCACTAAAGCCATATCTGGAATTTAACTGACAGAAATGTTGGAATTCAAACTTTTTTCCTGTGTTGACTCTTAAGCTGCCTTCTTTCATTCTTATTTTTTTAAAAAAAATAATTGTTTTAATGTCCAATATTTCCACTTTAGTATGCATATCATCCTTTGAATGTTGATGTTTTTGATGTGTCTACCTTCAGCACTGGCAAAGAGCTGGGATTTTATCGCTGGAAAAGGAGTGTACAGATGTAACTCCAATAGAACTATTTATATCAACCCTTTTGAAAAGGAAACTAAATTGTTGGATCATTTATCAAATCATTTATCTTTTCAAAAAGAAAAAGAAAGAGAAGCCAAGTTACAGATTACAGATAACAGATAATCAGAATTGGACGGGACTTTGTAGGTCATCTAGTCCAACCCCCCACCCAAGTGGGAGACCCTACACCATTTCTGACAGATGGCAGTCCAGTCTCTTCTTGAAAGCTTCCAGTTATGAAGCTCCCACAACTTCTGAAGTCAAACTGTTCAATGGGTTGATTGCTCTTACTGTCAGAAAATTCCTCCTTGTTTCCAGGTTGAATCTCTCCTTGTTCAGTTTCCATCCATTATTCCTTGTCTGGCCTTTGGGTGCTTTGGAAAATAGCTTGACCCCCCCCCCTCCTCTCTGTGGTAGCCCCTCAAATATTGGAAGACTGCTATTCTGTCTCCCCGGTCCTTCTCTTCACTGGACTACCCATGCCTAGTTCAAAGGCAGTCATTAATGATTGGGAAGCTGGAAGCATGGATGACATCAAAAGCAGGAACCCACATCTAAGGAACTTTTGCTACATTAGGCTGTATCCTCATGCAGATGATTCCTCATTTAAGGAATCAGTTCTTTATAAGACCAAATGGAATGAACATTCATCTTGTCCTAAAAGCATGCATTTAAAACACAACGTTCTTGCCTTATAGATTTGCTTTAAGTTCAAAAATGATAAATGATCTTTTCACTATATTAACTATATGAACATGTTTTTTTTTCTTAGTAACAATCATGAATTTTAACTTTCTTCAGATCTATTTCTCTTTGCAATGTAAGAATTAGGTTTGTCAATTTAATGGAATGCCCTCTCAAAATTTGGAAGGGAAATGGGCAAGAACATGGTGCTGTCCAGAACTAAGGAGAAATTTTCTGTCAGTGAGAACAGTTAATCAATGTAATTGCTTGCCTCCTAAGATCATGGGTGCTTTATAACTGGAGGTCTTCAAAAATAGACTGGACAACTGAGAGCTTCCGGGTTGAGCCTCCTCGCTGACGGACTGTAGATCGCGACTCTCTGCAGCTATGGTCCGTGTTCTTTCATTGGAGAACCCTGATCATCACAATTAGGGGCTGAAGCTGCCTTGGAGGGGTGGTGGAGTAAGGGGAAGCCACAAGTCAGGTTGAGGGGAGCCACCCCCCCCCCCCTGGGCTTGATCTCCCCCCCCCCCCCAAAGACGACTGCAGCGGTGGTTTAAAATGGCCACCCCGAAGAGGGGGACTCAGCTGGATTAAGCTTTGTGCAGGAGGGAAGAAAGAGGTGGATAACATCTGAACCGGGACAACTGGGTGATACAACTAAACAAAAGTACCCTGGGATTAAGGTAACATGGAATTTTTAAGAAAAGAAAAGTGAGCAGTGAAATTACAAAGGGACAGGGGAAAAAAAAAAGAAAACATTTTTGACAGCTAAGGGGGCTTCAAACCAGGAAAGGAAGAAGCTGGAACTAAAGATTTAACTAAATTGGACTAAAATATTTTGGCAATAAATAAGCATAAAACAAAGCTGGACTTAAGATTGTCAAAAAATAATAATAATAAAGTTTACAAATTGGAGTCTGGACTGTGCTGGAATATTGAGGTTCGAAAAACCCTAAATAAAAAAATAGGGGAAAAAGGTGAAGACTTTGTATAATGGAGAGTGCCACCTTCTGACAAAAACTTGAGCTCAAACAAAAGGGAAAGCATCCTGTTTCTGAATGAACTTGTGTGGATATAATGTTAAAGAAATATTGAAACAAAGTAAGAATCTTAGAAAGTGAAAGCAGAACCAGAATAAAGAAAAAAGCAAGGAAAGACTGACTGTGGGATTGATTGATGTTTTTTGGTATAGACCTTGGGCTGGAATAATTGAGAACTTTAGAAAATTGAAAGAAGAAAGAAGGAAAGTAAAAGTGTTTTTTGTGGACTTTAACGATCATAAAATACAAGAGTGTGTAATGATGATATCTCTTCGGGAATTAAAAATGGAACTTAAAAATATGAGTGAATTACTACAGGAAAGAGGCGAATCACTTTGCTCTGTGTTAGAAAAAATGGAAATGGCGATTGAAGAACAAGAAGAAAGAGCTTCAGAGGAGGAGGAGTCGACTCAAGGAGAAGACATCTTAAATAGACAATTAACACAAAGAACACTACAAAGAAGTGGGGAAAGAAGGAAGGTTAAAAAGTTGAAATTTAAGGAGGCAATCAAAAGGGGGAATACCTGTGAAGTCAGGAAAGGCAGAAAGACCCAGCAGAAAAGGGGAAAGGAAGATATTAAGAAAGAGAGGGATATAAACTGGAATGAGAAAAGATATGGAGAAAAGAGGGGGGGAAGAAGCAGTAAAAAACAGGTGCATGAAATAAAGAAATACGGAAATAGTAAAATGTTGAAAAGAAATTGTTTTTTCAGAGATAATGGTGGGGATTCTGCAAGGTGACAAGGGGTAATAAGAATATTTCTGCAATTAAAAATATTTAGAAAATAGGGTAATATACTGATAACTCATTAAAAATTAAGGGGGGAAAATATGCTGCGGAATCCAAATGAAAAGATGTAATGATTATTATTGTAACTTCTTAAAAATAATGGTTTATTGGGAATCAAGATGAGGGAATAAAGGTATATTTTAACCATTGAGGTGTCACACTCAAAGCAGTAAAAGGGGGGAAACCTATACTTGTTTGTTTTTCTTTAGTGTTAAAACTTGTATTAATCTAGAATCTATAAAAAGAATTTTCCAATGGAAATGGAATATGACAGACTAAAGAACCAACTAAATTAATAAATTAATATAGACTATTAAAAGTAAGGAGAGACATTGGTAACCTTTTTATCATTATCATCATCATCATTATTATTATTATTAGGCAAACACATATTGTTTATCTTTATTTTTAAAATAAATATTAAAGGATTATATTTGAAATAATTGAAATGAAACAAAAAGATGTTTCGATTGAGATTAATGAAAGAGGCTAGAATTAATGTGTTTGTTTCTCTCCTTACTGAAAATTTGGAATGGAAAAGGTAATAATAGAATTAAGTATGCATATATGAATGTATAATTGCTGTCATATTTGTATGTAAAAGTGATGACCCGGAAATATGTTGTCCACTAAAAAGAGATTTTTGTTTTTATGTGAAAAACTGAATAAAATTTGTTTTAAAAAAAATAGACCGGACAACTATTTGATTGGGATGACCAGGGGGTTGGACTTGAAGACCTTCGGGGTCCCTTTCAGACCTATGTTTCTATGTCCCATATTGGAATTATGTTCCTCTAGCATTGTAACGTAATGGCCATAAAGGCTTAATAGCAGCATCCATATATTTATAAAGCAGCATGTCAGGAAAGGCTAATTTTGGAGAAGAAATAGTGAAATCTGTTTACATTTCAAGAACTACATATTTTTGCCATTATTAGTGCCTTTTCATGATTTTCCCCCTCCTTTCTTTGTTGGATTGATGTAATCCCGAGGCCTTAATACGATTTAATACAATTTATTTCTGGAAAGCTTCCTTTCTTCTCCTTATACCTTATTTAAGAAAGGAAGTAGTTTAAAAAAATGTCCCAGAAAATGGCCATATAAAGAGCTTAATACCTTTAACAATTTTGCAACAATCAGTACAAATTTAATTTTATAACACTTGGAAGAGGCATTGTGTACATTAGTACAGAATACCCCTGAAATCAATATAGGACAATCTCATTCCCCAAAGTCGAAAATTCCATCTATTAGGAGAGAGAGAGGAAGGGAGGGAGAGATCTTTTCACTATATTAGCATTTTTTTTTCCTTAGTAGCGATCATGAACTGTAACTTTTTTCAGTACGATTTCTCTTTGCAATGTTAAGAATTAAGAAGACAGTTTGCCAATTTAATGGCATGCCATCTCAAAATTTGGTAGGGAAATGGACAAGAACCCTTGAAAACAATCTTAATCTTGATTCTAATGAGGGAAAGGCTGTGAAAACTCCCAGGTAAGTATCTCACTGCCTGTCTCTTTGCATCTACCATTATCTTTTATTTTCCTCCTGGATTCCTGGTATCTTAGCAACTGTGCAGGCCTGATAACCTTAATAGACCCAGAAATGACACTCTAGAAATCTATCGCTGAAGGCTGGTGCTTAGACTAATGGCACTCTTTGATGGTAGATCTCAAACTGCAGAGATATGGTTCGATTAACACCTTTTCTCGCCTGAGCTGTCATCTTTTTGGTTGGTTACACAGACAAGGAAATGGTTGTTAATCCAGATTGAATCTAAACAGATTTCCACAGATATAGAGAAGCTGTTCATTCAATAAACGATGGATATTCTTTTTTAAAAAAATAATAATAATAGAGGAACGATAATTGTGATGTCCTATTGGTCTAGGAAGCATATAGGATTCTCTTATGAATCAAGTGTGATTATTCAGCATTTATGGCCAGTAGATGGTGGGTGGCTATTGAAGCTTATTAACCGCTTGGCAGCTGTTCATCAGTCCGGGATCATCTCAGTGGATACCAGATTTTGGATAAACGGTTGGAAGAGCACGGAGGAAGGCAGGGTGAGTGTCAGATCTTCATTAATATTCCTCGAATGTCAGTCAGTCCACGAATGGAAGGAAAGTATCAAAGAAGACAGACTGTGTGTTCAATGTATTGGAATAAAATATGTCCCAACCAGGATGTTATAATCCTGCTGTTCATTTCCTGATAACTTCTGAGACTACATGCCTTCTGCACTTGAATTAGAATGGATCAATCCGTTGTTTTTTTTTGGCACCTATGAATTCCTTCTCTCTTTATCCTTCAGTCCATTTTATTCCATGTCCACATTAATTCATGTAGTCATTTAAAGGTCTCAATTCTGCACAGAAAAAGCATATTTAAAACATATTTCTGAACTTCTCAAATCCATCATCCTAAGGATGGCTTTTCCCAATATATATTTTTATGCTGGTATATTAATTAAAATCTGCTCTTTGATGGGCATACATGGGTATGTTTTTGTCCTGTACACTGGTGTTGATCCATGTTAAAATAGAGATAACATGATACTTTGAAATATCTCTGTTCCAGAAGACTGCTTGAAAGTTTCATGTCACATTGAATGAATCTACTGCCAAGTGGGAAGCTCATTTCTGTTGCCTTCTGAGTATATCAACTACAGTGTGCGGGTATTAGCAGCACAATTTTGTGTCATTTGAAACCCCAAACCCATAATCCTCAAATAGTCTTGACACAATTAAATCAATAAACAAACCGGAAACAATTCTCAAACTGTCTCTCGCTATGAAAAGACAGCGGGCTCTATCAAGTCAAACTGGAAGCAATATCAACCTTCCCTTAATTACATGCTTTATTTTGAAATTTTATCTGACTGCCTCTCAGGGAAGACTCCATTGGGGAAGAATCTCGGTTAGCTTTCCTCCCCCTTAGGTGATAACTTTCTGACAACTGCATTGTTGTCTTTTAAGATGTCAGCCATAAGAAACTCGCTAGAGATTTTAGGAAATAAATCACATCAATGGATATATTTTTACATTCAACATTTTCTAAATCTCTACGACCTGTCTAATTTTATTTTTTCTACTGCTCCAGTGCAGATAGTCACTTTTTTGTTACAACTCTAAACAGCTACAGGGAGTTTTCCTGTCATTTGCCTCCTACGGAAAAAACATTTGCAAGCAGAATGAAAAATGGTTTCCCAAAAATCCAATAATGCTGTAAGAAGGGGGGGAACCTTATTGTAGTTATAATTTCTAGGTCTCCACAAATTGGCATTACAATATGGAATATTCTAATAAATGAATTATACCATTTCCTATTTCCTCCCACCTCCTGCAGAGAAGATTAAAAACAATACACTTAGCTTTCCACTAACAACCCTAATTGATCCGAGAATTACGATTGTAAATGATGCCAGTTAATAAGAGGATCATCGTGTATCCCAATAAAATATGCAACATTGTTGTTTCCATGTTGTTAAGTGAATCCACAGTTATTAAGTACATTTGGTCATTTAGTGAATCCATTGTCCACAATGGATGTTTTTGTTGGGAAAAAATGGACCTTTTTATCAGCAAAAAAAAAAAAAAAAGATTTAAAAAAATCTTAAATTGCAGTCACATGTTGGCTGGATGTTGCAAATCACCATAAATGTGGGATTGCTGAATCTTGGTCATAAGAGCCTTTTTCTGGGTTTGCTCAAGTTGGAACAGTTGCTAAACTGTCGTAATTCGAAGACTACCTGTTAGCCACCAGCATTTCCTTTTGTTTTCCTCTAATTTTAATTCCCTCTAATTTTAATTCCCTCTAATTTTACAAACTATTTTTTTAAAATATCAGACATCAATAAAGCCATTCATTGGTATGGGATCATGTCACCTGATTCCATATTTGGGCATCTTAGAAGTTTGAATTACACATAGAATTCACCCGATATCGTATCCCACTGAACTATAGTTTCTTCTAACTATGATCTGTGAAATATGACAGTGGACAGGTTCATAAATAATTGCACTAAGCCAGAGGTATTCAGCTAGTTCTGACCAATTCTGGAGAACCAGTAGTGGAAATTTTGAGTAGTTCACAGAACCGGCACATATCACCTCTGACTGGCCCCGCCCCCATCTATTCTCTGCCTCCCATTGAGTCCCAGCTGATTGGCTGGGTCTCCTTTGGTTGCCCTGCACAGGAAAATGGAGCTGGAAAGCAGGATAGTGGGATGGGGAGGGAATGGGGATTTTGCAGTAACCTTCCCCTGCCACGCCAACCAAGCCATGCCCACCAAGCCACACCCACAGAACTGGTAGTAAAAAAAATAATAATCCCACCACTACACTAAAACCCATATCAAAGGAGCTACTATGGCTTAATATGGCTGGGTAAATTCAGCCATACAATTGTAAGATGTCCTTTCATCTCAATAAAGCTCAGCTCAGGGTAGAATTGGCAGTTAGAAAATCCTGACAGATGGTCACCTAACCTTTAGTTAAATATCTGCAATGAAGGATAATTTGCCACCCACCAAGGTGGTCTATTATTCTTTGAAACATCTTAGTCCTTTTGATCTTTGCTTGTTTCATGTCAGTGTTTGCCTTAAATATATTAATGTGATAGGGGGAAATTCAATCTATTTTACTGTTGGTTTAGTTTGTTGTTGTTCAGTAAAAGGTTGACAACAGTTCATGTTTCCAAGTCTTCCTAGCATTTTTTTTTTGCAGGCATAGGATTTAATGTGAAAAGAGATCTGTATGGACTTCCTTTATGTCTTTATTGGTAATCGCTTGTTATAAGGAATAAGATCATCTTTAAGTCCTGCAATCTTGCACAGTACCACACTGCAAGCATGCTGAAGAGTAGGATGCAAAATATTACTGTCAGGGTAATGATGATTTAATAGCTGACCAGCTGCTGTAAAGTTATAATGCTGTAATACTGTAATGTTGTAATGATGATGCAATGGTAGCAATGAGTCAGCAGGGTTATTTGACTGCTACCACTTTAAGAGGCTGTAATATAAGAGAGACCCTGTGAGGGCGTATCGTTCTCTCCATGTGTGCTTCCATGGTGTAGCTCAGTGGTGGTTAACCTTTTTGGGCTCCCATGCCGAAAATTGCCAGCACTCAGAAGACAATGCGCGCGGCGACCCCCATGCTACCTGCGCATGCATACCCCCCGCATGGGACATGCATCTCTGTGCATGCGCGGAGATCCTCCTGTATGCCTCTGCACATGTGCATGTGTCTCCCCTGCCACCTGTGCATGCACGTCAGATACCTGACAATCAGCTGTCAGGCAGGCAGTGTGCATACGCAGTGAGGCTCTTCAGGGTGACTTCTTGCATGCTGGCAGAAGTGGCTCTGCGTGCCACTTCCGGCACACGTGCTGTAGGTTCGCCATCATGGGTGTGGCTGATTACTGATTGCTGTTTGTTCAAGGCCTGTATCAAAGTACTTGTATGTATATATGCTTTTGTATGGATAAAACCACTATATGTAAATACAAACCTGTGTGCTGTATTTGCTCCTAGGTTATCTCACCTAAACACATTGTGCGCACTCTGACAGGAACCAACCTGGAATTTCATTCATATATGAAAAATAGAAAAGAAAAACAGATATAAACCCAGAATAAACTAGATAAAAGGAAAATACAGTAATAAAATCCATATCTGGCACAAAGTCAGTTTGGTCTAGTGGTTCTGGCACCAGGCACCATAAATTCTAGTCCTGCTTTAGGCATGAAAGCTGGCTGGGTAATTTTAGGCCAATCACCAGGAAATTGAGAATTCTAGTTATGCATCAGACACGCAAGATGGCTGGGTGACTTTAGGCCAATCACAAGGAGAATGTGAGTTCTAGTCCTGCTGTAGACATTAAAACCAAGTGGGTGACTTTGGACCAATCACCAGGAGAATGTGAATTCTAGTCCTGCCTTAGGCATGAAAGTCAGATGGTTGACCTTGGGCCAATCATTCTTTTTCAGCCCAACCAATCTCACAGAATTTTTGCTGTGGGGAAAATAGGAGAATGTGTGTTGGATATGTTTGCCACCTTGAGTTATTTGTAAAAATAATAAAGGTGGATATAAATAAATAAAAGAATTAAAAAAAATCAGCATTCAGGTAAATACAATTGCTGCAGGATATTCCAACCTGTTTGATATAACAGGTTCTTAGATCAACTGCTCTAGCTTTAAATTTAACATTATTGCTAACAATGTACAAATTAGAACCCAGGATACGACAATCTGCAATTCAGGAAGCTGTTCTTTCAAATAGGGATATTAAGTATTTAAGCCTAAAAAGGGCATATAGTTGACAATGAAACCAAATACAAGCAATGTCTTCAATGGCTGGGACACCACATATCCAAGTCTGCTCATGATGTGGCAGGTGGTGGAAGCACCCATATTTGGCCATGGAATCCAACAACATTCAGGTATGCACACCAGAGGTGGTATTCAGCAGGTTCTGACCAGTTCTGGAGAACCGGTAGTGGAAATTTTGAGTAGTTCGGCAAATACCACCTCTGACTGGAGATTTTACAGTATCTTTCCCTTGTCACGCCCACCAAGCCATGTCCACAGAACCGGTGGTAAAAAAATTTGAATCCCACAACTGATGCACACAGATCTTCCAGATATATGCAAAGGGCAGTTTGAGGGACCTTGGGGTCCTAGTGGATGATCACTTAAATATGAGTCAGCAGTGTGTGGCAGCAGCCAAAAATGCTAATACAGAGGCATAGAATCAAATTTGTGTAAACAGAGGCATAGAATCAAAATGACATGAAGTATTAGTATCACTTTATAAAACCCTAGTAAGACCACACCTGGAATACTCTGCGCATCTGACTGCATCTAGTTTTGGTCACCATATTACAAAAAAGGTGTTGAGACTTTGGAAAAAGTGCAAAGAAGAGCAACTAAGATGATTAAAGGCCTGGAGACTAAAACATATGAAGAATGGTTGCAGATTTGGGTTTGGCTAGTCTAGAGAAAAGAAGAATTGTGGGGGCGGGGACATGATAGCACTATTCCAGTATTGGAGAGGCTGCCACAAAGAGGAGGGGGTCAACTCATTTCCCAAAGCACCAGAAGCAGGACAAGAAACAACGGATGGAAACTAACCAAGGAGAGAAGCAACCTGGAATTAACCAGTGGAACAGCTTGTCTTCAGAAATTGTGAGGGCTTCATCACTGGAGGTTTTTAAGAAGAGACTGGAAAGCCACTTGTCTGAAATGGTCTTAGGTCTCTAGCTTGAGCAGGGGGTTGAACTAGATGACTCCAAGGTCCTTTCCAGCTCTATTCTGATTCTGTTCTCACATGTGGGGACATGAAAGGACCCTCCCCAAAGATTGCATTACTTTTGGTGATCAGGCATCCTCTGGGCAATGGTCTTGTCCACAGCAAATCCTTTCAACTTAGTTAGCTTCTGTCAGTGTTTCTGACAATGCATACAGACAGTTCTCAAACAATCCTTTTAGAAAATATGTTTTTGTTTTATTTTAACAAGGGCCAAGGCGGGGGGTGGGGGAGAGGGGAGAATGCTGGAATGTGGATTTAAAGATTAGGGGCTGTTGAAAAATATTTGTCATATCAATGGGAGACATGTCACACATGTCTCTGGCAAGGAAGGTAACGTTAAGGAAGGGAGATGTTTAAAAAAGGAACGGGGAGCCTCGGATGTGCTTACACATATTGTTGTGAGCTTTGTGGGTCTTGGACCTCCCTGTGTCCTTCCTCTGCAACACAAACGACAATTTTTTGCTTTGGAGTCAGCGGGAAATGCGGCCCCGAAAAGGAAAACCTCTTCTCTGCACATCCGAGAGCATGAATGCTGATGAGCTGCATAAAAGCACAAAGCCGGGGGATGTTTTCCAAGCTAAACCAAATGATTAATTATTGGAGAAGTCACCGTTGGGGGTAGAGATCTGCCCTGTAGCATAAGCGGGAAGGATTAAGATGGGCTAAATTTCTGTTGACTGCAGCCTTCTAATTTTGGCCATTGGATGCCAAGCACATCGCCTTTGCTGTCTGCAACTCCAGCTGACGATGTAGCTTCATGCATTAATTTGTGTTTGTGGTGCATGCACATGCAGGCTGCGTTGGATTATTTACTTTGTGGCTCTCAGAGAGACAAAGGTAATTGAAGCAAGTGGCAAGAGCGTGGCTGTTTCATTCTAAGGGGATTTGCTAAGGACGCATAAGAGCAAGCTAATCACAGCAGCGAGTGAGATTAAGCACGGGCTTTGGACATTAACATAGTCCAACTCCTCCTTGGTAAATTCTTCAATAATCATTTTCTGGAAGTCCCAACTTTGCCCTAAAGGGGGAAATATGTGCCAATACTATGACATTGGCAAACTACCCATATAATCTATGCAGCTGGGTCATAGGAGAAGCTTGAGAATCATCTCGGGGCATCAAATAATGCAGACTGGCTGAGATATTCACTTAACCATCAAGAAAAGGGAATGGGGCTGAGGGAAATTTCACATGCAAGTAGAAACCAGACTCATTTATTTAGCCAATCTTCTTTTAAAGAGACTTTTATGTAGCTTTTGAAATGTCATTTGGAAATGGGCTAGGTTTTTATAATTTTGTACAGTACTTTTAATTGGGTGGAGGGATGGACAGATAGATAAACAGATAGATAGTTAGCAATAGCACTTAGACATAAACCATGCCATAGTGGTATATAGCACTCTCTGGGTGGGTTACAGAGTTAGCATATTGCCCCCAACAATCTGTGTCCTCATTTTACCAACTCTAGAAGGATGGAAGACTGAATGAGCTATGAGCTAGTCAGGATTGAACTCCTGGCAGTGGGCAGAGTCAACCTGCAATACTGCATTCTAACCACTGTGCCACCAGGGCGATATATAAAAGATAGATAGATAGATAGATAGATAGATAGATAGATAGATAGATAGATAGATAGATAGATTAGATAGGTAGGTAGGTAGGTAGGTAAGTAAGTAGGAAGGGAGGGAGTTAGATAGGTATTCTCTAGATATCTGTTCCAAACCTGACCTATCAGGTCTTCCAATATTTTACCCATCACCACTATAGTTGAGTTCATCTACCTTGGTCTTGTTCTCCTCTTTTTTTTCTTTTTTCTTCCACTTTTCCTAGTCTTATGAGCTTCTCATTAGAGCTAGGTCCTCATATAATGGGTCCAAAATATGAATATTTAAAACAGGTAATTTGTTTCTCTCATGAAAACTCTGATTGGTTTGTTCTTTGATCCATTTGTTAGGTTGCTTATTACCTTAAAAGGTCTTTTGACCTGAAAGACACCACTGAATATTTTAATATGATAAATAACCATCAAGGTTAAAAGCTTTGCAGAAAATTGCTACAAGTCTTTCATTTCATTTCATCTAAATGTGCTGCAGCTCAATAGTGGCATGTTTTTCTTACAGAGAACGTATTAAAGTACAGAAGAGGTATAATAAAATAACAAATATATTGATAAATTAATCGTAATTGCAAAAGGTAGCTTTACTTGGAACAGCTTACATCATATGACTATACCTTTATCATCAGCAAACAGCAAAATCTGTGTGTTCTTGGTCCTTGGGAAGGACTCAGTAGATGAATAAAAATGCCAAACAACGAAGTTCCACAACACTGTCAAACTATTTACTAAAACTGTATTACTATTATTCTTCTCATCCTTCCCTATTACCTATCTCCTCCCACTTATGACTATAACCTTGTTCCTTGTATCTTTACAATTTATATTGTTTTATTTAGTTTCCTAGTATGATTAGATTGCTTATTAGTATCCTATGACTATCACTGTGTTGCATCTTATGATTCTTGATGAATGTATTTTTTATGTACACTGAGAGCTTATGAACCAAAGCTTATGAACCTTGTGTGTCCAATCACACTTGGCCAATAAAAAAATTCTATTCTACTCTACTCTACTCTACTCTATATACTCTACTCTACTCTACTCTACTCTTCACTGAGGATAGGATTGCAAACTCTTCTAGATCCTCTCTCTTTCTTAAAAACCAGATTTTAATGGCTCTTCTGAAAAATGC